TTAAACAGTGCGGGCCCAAGGACCGAGCCCTGGGGTACCCCACTGCTCACATCTCGCCAGGTTGAGTATAACCTGTCCACCACTACTCTCTGAGTGCACCCCATCAGCCAATTTTTTACCCATCCAACTGTGCAGGCATCAATGCCACAGTCGCTTAATTTATTAATGAGGATGGGGTGAGAGAGAGTGTCAAAGGCCTTCTTAAAGTCTAGAAAGACTATGTCCACAGCGACACCATCATCCAAGAATTTAGTTACTTGGTCATAAAAGGCAACCAGGTTGATCAGGCAGGACCTGCCTTTGATGAACTCATGCTGATTGCCCCTGAGCATGATCTCCCCTGCAGGCCCCCCCCAGATGTGCTCCTTGATGATTCTCTCCAAGATCTTCCCGAGCACCGAGGTGAGGCTTACAGGCCTATAGTTATTTGGGTCCTCCTTCCTCCCTTTCTTGAAAATTGGGACCACATTAGCCAGTGTCCAATCCCCCGAAGGAGTTTGCAATAGAATATGACTTATGAATATGATAGTAATATTACACAAATGAATGCAAGAAAAGAAACCTACACAGAGCTAAGTATTTACCTTCAAAATCCAAATCTTACAACTTGGAAAAGTCCCAGATGGATAATGGTGAAGTAAATACCTTGGACAACTCTCTCCCAGGCAGCCACAACCCAATTTATTACTGTTAGAACACCAAAGCATCACAAAAAGATGAATATTCTGCAACCAGTACCTTTGTGCATCTAGTTTAGGCACTGGCCTTTTAACTGTCTTCTGGGCAGTCACAGAAGAATCCTTTATTTCTGATGGAGCATTTCCATCTGCCTCTGAAAAATAAAACACATTATACAATCCATAATCTAGTTGATACCAACTAGCATTACAAAAATATAAAACATGAAACTTTTGTATCTTGATGTATGACCTCCCAATATCTCCTTGATTCTATCCATTGCCAGTTTTCCATTCTAGCTCTACTAATGAATTGTATGTGTATTACTCTGAATAACTGATGCCTGTGCTTTGTCTTTCTACCTCCAAAAATCTACCTTTATAACAGCATAAAATAAGAAAGGAATATTTCTGGTACTTTAAAGATGACTTCCTTCTTTAAAAAAAGCCATTAGTTTCACACAATTGGTATCTTGAACTCAATTTAAAAAAAAGATATTTTGAGAGTACATTAGCAGCAAAATTCAAAGCTATCAATTACAATTATGGTGCCAAGAATTCTTTAGAAGCCTTAGGAAGATGGGAGGAAGTAGCTGTAGTACCAAAAAAGCTAAAAGCAATCAAGACTAACCTGTACAGTTTGGAGCATAAATACAATTTTGTGGGTAAAAACAGATATTGCATTTGAGGCTGTTCGGATTTCAGCCAGGTTTTGACATGGATCAAAGAAGAGCAGCAGAGCCTGTGCGCTTGCAACTTGCCCCTGGAATTAGCTACAACTAATTCAAATGTGCTGCAATTGTCCAGGGGGCAGTGTTAGCACATTTTATATCTTACATACTTCCCAGTATTTGAAGTAAGACAATGGGTTTCTACATCTGTAGGTTCCCAAGACAAAAGACTTTCTCCCCGAAGAAATGTAGCTTCTGTTTTCAACCTGTGAGACTGAAGTCTAAGTTAAGCGCTCTTTGATTTTAGTCATGTGAGGTTGCTGTCAATTTAGAAAGAGAAATCTTCCTCAAGTGTGCAATACTAAGATGAGCATGATTAAAAAAATTAAGTGGCAAAACAGGAAATGTTTACCAGCACTTGAAAAATGACCATGACATTTAAATTCAGGGTTTTGCTAGTATAATCAACACAACAGTATTTTGACAGTATTCCTGCTCTGAAGCAGGCATGGGGCTTTTCATATGATCACAAGAAGCCAAATTAAGTTATTTTTCATTATTTTTGTCCCCATTTTCTTTAAAGTCTCCTAAAGGAGATAACAAAAGACAAGCTAACAGACTTATCTAGTGAAAAAATAAGCACTGCATTAATAAACTAAAACATTCCTTAGGAATCTGTTTAATAGGTGTTAGTGTGAACATACAACATGCTTACACTAGCATAACGTATGCTGGCTTGTACACCAAGAGGAGTTACATCTGCAAATCCCAGTTTTCCAGAACGATGTCTACTCTGGGCAGCTATTAGAGCACTGCAGGTATTGATAAAGCCTACTTAAGATTAAATTAACTAGTGCTATGGAAGCAAGACCAATAGACCTGTGTAAGTTACATCACTGTACATCAGTTAACTCAGGACTTTCCAAAGGAAATTTTATCCCAGCACAGAAAGTGACTTACACCAGTGTATGGCTGTACATCTTGTGCCCACTCTAAATTTACACAGATTTGTAAATATCCTGTTTTCACACGCTTATAAAGCCAAAAGAGAAATTAAATACAAAAGTCTGGTAAAGATATTAGGACTGTCAAAGAACATTGAGAGCATCTGCTAGATTTGCAGTTAGTTATTAAGGAGATTTATAGGAGCCAAAAGAATAAAGGCACAAGAACACAGTCATACATATGGAAATACCATATCAGAAATTATATAATAGGATTTACTATTACACTAACATGAGGGAGGCCTGAAATTGGATATGTTACAATATGAAGAGGTCACTAAGGATTGTAAAAAAAGCAGTAGTCTTTTTCTAAAAGTAATATTAATGTGGGCATGAGGGTAAACAAAGGAAGAAGTGTTAATTAACAGTAAATTATTTGGCTTGTATATAAAGAATAGCAGCCATACTGATCTCATCACAGCATGGGGGACAAAGCTGATGCACAAATTCTTTAACTACATGCTTTGGTCTTTTGAATATCAAAAGATGTGGCATTTTCTGTGCCCCACCCCCGGCACCTCAGAGACCGCCACCCAGACGAAGCCCATGGTTCTGAGCTCCACGCCTCTGGCTCTCAGCTGCGGGGGCTGCCTGTCGCTTTTCCAGGCTCTGGGGCCCAGGAGCATGGCCACCTCCCCTTGTGAAGTCTGCTCCCTACTGGGGTCTCTGGCGTGCAAGCTGAAGGAGCTCCAGACCGCAGTCCAAAGACTGCGTGCCATCAGGGACTGTGTGCAGGAGATCAACTCCTACTGCCAGGCCCTTCTCCCTTGGGAGACGGAGGGTAGACCATGGTCTCCCTCCAGGACAAGGGAGGACTTAGGGACCTCCCATTCTGTTCAGCCACAAGGTTGGACCAAGGTGGTCAAGGGCCCCAAGGCCCACCGCACCAAGGCCCCTGCCCTGCTGGAGCTCAGCAACAGGTATGAACCTCTTGCAGCCCCAGCAGAGCCTGCTGAGTTGCCAGCTCCTGCAGGCAACACAGGCACTACTGTAGCTACTGCCCCCACTCTCCCCAAGACAAAACGCAAAGTGTTTGTCGTGGGAGACTCCATCCTGAGGGGGACTGAGGGGGTAATCTGCCGCCCAGATCCCTTAGCCCAGGAAGTTTGCTGCTTCCCGGGAGCCCACATCTGAGACATCATGGAGAAGATCCCTAAACTCCTCCAGCCCACTGACCATTATCCCATGCTCCTTATCCATGTGGGCACCAATGATATGACTCAGAGCGCTCCCAGCTGGGTCGTGAGGCACTACAGGGATTTGGGAGCGGGGCTTAAGTGTCTGGGGACGCAGGTGGTGTTTTCTTCGATCCTCCCAGTCTCGGGCTACGGAGGGAGAGGAGGATCCAGGTAGTTAACCAAAGACTGCGGTGCTGTCACTGGGAAGGCTTTGGCTTCCATGACCACAGTCCGCTCTTTGGGGAGAGAGGCAGCGAGCTGCTGGGAAGGGACAGCCTCCACCTCTCTCCGCTGGGGAGGAGGCTCTTCTCAGCCAGACTGGATGACCTGCTCCACCGGACTTTAAACAAACCCCGCCGGGGGATGTGGGGGGGACTACTGCCACTGCTGGCCCACAGAGCAACCCTTGCAAAGCCAGCAGGCCAAGGCCTTTAAGGGAGCCCACCCCTGCTCCAACCCTGGAACAATCTGTAGGCAAGGCAAGGCAAGGGCCCCCAAGGGGACACTTGCATGCCTATACACAAATGCCAGGAGCTTGGGGAACAAACAGGAGGAACTTGTCCTCCTGCTAAACACAAATAATTATGATGTCATAGGGATAACGGAGACCTGGTGGGACTCCACCCATGACTGGGCCACAGGTATAGATGGCTATACCCTGTACAGGAGGGATCGAGCGGACAAAGAGGGTGAAGGTGTCTCTATGTCAAGGAAAGCTACGCGTCCCTGCAAGCCGACACTGGCACCTACGGTGGACGACTTGAGTCCCTCTGGGTTAAAATCCATGAGGAACACAGCACAGGGGATACTACGGTAGGAGTCTACTACAGACCCCTTACCCAGGGTCAAGACCTTGACCAGGAGTTTGCCAGGGAATTGGCTGAGGCCGCGTGCTCCTGGTGCATGATTGTCATGGGAGACTTTAACTACCCAGACATCTTGTGGGAGGAGTCTCAGCCAAATCCGAGCGGTTGCAAAGCTTTCTCCCATGCGTGGATGACCTCTATATCTGACGCAGAAAGTCTACGGGGCGACGAGCGGTAAAGCGCTGCTCAACCTTGTACTGGGGACGACCTACCCAGCGACCTAAGAATTGAAGGGAAGCTGGGTGACAGTGACCACAAGCTGATCACCTTCACCATCTGCCATAAAGCTGGCAAGTCAGTCAATAATATAGAAGTCCTTGACCTGGTGAGGGGTCTGCAGGTGCTCGACCACCTGGGCGACAGCGATCATTGCCTGCTGGAATTCACCATCCAGCGCAAGGTGGCAAAGGCCTGGAGCAAGGCAGCAGCTCTGAAATTCAGGAGGGTGGACTTCAATGAAGTAAGGAGAATAGTCAGGGAGGCACTGAGGTCCCAGAGGGGGGAGGAGTCAGGTGTCCAAGAAGAAGGGTCGTTCCTTAAAGAGACGATCCTCCAAGCCCAAAGGGAGGTAACCTCAACACGGATCAAAGGGGGCAAGAGGGTGCAAAAGCCCCCATGGCTCACCAAAAGCATATGGGAATGTCTCCTAGCTAAAAAGGAGGCATACACCCAATGGAAGGGAGGGGCCATCACCAGGGAGGATACCTCGGTTGCTTGGGGCTGTAGGGGGGCGGTCAGGAAGGCCAAGGCAGAGATGGAATTGGGACCAGCTACCCAGATTAAGGACAACAAGAAGTCCTTCTTTAAATACATAGGGAGTAAAAAGAGGGTACTGAGTAATGTGGGGCCTCTGCAAGGCACGCTAGGAAATCTGGTCGTCACTCCAGACGACAAAGCTAACCTATTTAACAATTTCTTTGCCTCCATTTTTCTGAGCAGGGACCGGGTCACCCCCCTCCCCACCAGGACCACCGCAGGCCCCAGGGGAGGCGCACCCAGGCCTAGGGTCAGTGAGGATCTAGTCAGGGAACTTCTGGAGGGACTGGACGTATTTAAATCAGCTGATCCTGACAATCTCCACCCCAGAGTGCTGACGGAATTAGCAGAGGTCATTGCGGGACCCCTGGCACAGCTTTACGAGCACTCGTGGTGCTCTGGTGTGGTGCCAGAGGACTGGAAAAGGGCC